CAAACCTTCAGCAGCTGACATGGGGCCTAGGAAGGTTCTTTACTCTCTTTAGATGCTTATAAACATATTTGTGGTGCTCTTCTTGGTACTCTCTCTATCAACATCCTGCAGACGATTCTTGGGTTTATTCATCTCTCACTGCTGCTTCCTTAGTTGGTAAGAGAAAATTGTTTCCACTTGCTTCCATACTTGAGATCTTAAAATTTTATTTGGTATGGTATTGCTTTCGTTTTGTATTGGATCTGAATATTTGGTTCTAATTCTAGGTTTTTTTACTAGTAACCGTATTTTTTTGATGTGGCATTTATGATGAACGAAATGTAAGAGCCCTCTATCATTGTTCTCCAAGTGGTGGATGACTTTTTTTTATTAATTAACACACTCTGACACTGTATGATGTCCTTAAGTATGGTCTTTTGTGTCTGTGTAGGCTCAGAAGCTCGTTGTGGCTTCAATTCAAACCAAAACAGATTGCTGCTGGTGCTGCATATCTTGCTGCCAAGTTCTTGAATATGAATATGTCTTCTAATCACACAATCTGGCATGCGTTCCAAACCCCACCACCTGTCCTTCGAGGTATGTTCTGCTCTTTTACTCTCTAGCAGTGATGATTATGCCCCTCTTATACCCTTAAAATGTAATCCATTTTAAGCAATATACATAAAGTATTAGGAATAGGAAACACAGCAACAACAACCCAGTAAAATTTTACGAAAAGTAGGGTCCAGGGAGGGTGTGTGGGTGCGCAAACCTTGCCCCTACTCAGAAGTAGAGATGCTAGCTTCCACCTGATGCTAGGAACAGTAAACATAAGACTGAAATGTTTCTTAACGAACATTAGTTGCGCAAAAGGTTTCCTTAAACTTTGTTTGCTTAAGGACAGAATTAGAGGGAAACATTTGTGAGAACTGAGATGAGAAAAAAACAGTAGAGAAACATGGTAATTTTTGTGGGTTGTTTGGTAGGAGAAAATTTAGGAAGAGCAAGGTAGATTTGGGAGGAGATTCATTCATCTCCTATCTCTACATAAGAGAAATTATAGGTAATGCACACCATTTTCTTCTTACTCCCAATTCTTTTCTCATCAAACAAAACAAACTCTCCATTTCTCTCATATATATGACCCTGACCCTCTTTGGTAATATGGTTGTTTTGCTCATCCCTTCCTAAATTCTTACACTGGTTAGTCATGAAGGGAAAAAGTTACCTTGTTTTTTTGGGTGGAAATATCTGAAATGTAGATAACTGATGGTTCCACATTTTACTAAAAAAAATATACTCCGGGGTATTAAAAATATACTCCCCGGTCTTGTAAAAAACAGAAAACATTTCATTATCAATTTCAGTCCATTCGCCAATTTAAGCCAAATTGATGATTTCAACCAAACCCGCTACTCATTTTGTTGAATGTCGGTTTGACCTGACATATACGAGTCGGTTTGTTATGCAGATGTCGCCCAACAGCTGATGGAACTCTTTTAGGGTGCTGAAAAGGAGAGATTAAAATGACTAGAGATACCATACTTCCCACTCCCGATCTTCCCATGGCTCTTAAAGATCACAGCAGTTTTTATAGTCTCGACCCCAGCCGTGCGCCGGTTGTGCGTTGAAGTGTTGTGCATAGTGTAAAAATGAATGAAATGTGTGCGCTGAAGAAATCGTCTTTATGCGCTCTCGTGTGATTGTTGCGTAAGTTGGAGTCTTTGAGTATATGAAAAGCCTTTTACAGAAGCTGTTGTAAAAATTTGAATTCGTGCCCTATATTTCAAATGAGGAAGCAATGTGTTTCTGGTCCTTTTATATGTTCAGTTTTGATTTTTTTTGGTCAATTATTTTTACCTTTGACCTATCATTTAATAAAATATATATTGTATATTAATTAGGTAAATTTATATTTTAAAAATATTTTATATAATAAATTTATTGAAATTATTTTTACATGAATATTTTATATCATTTTTATTTAATTTAAGGTGAAAGTTTAGCAATTTTGACCGAAAAAGTCAAAAGTTGACAAATACTCAAAGACAAAGGGAGTAATCAATTAAATTGTGAATAATGTTTTGGATAAATAATACTCCACCAGGAGTAGAAAATTGTCAAGTTTATATTTTGTTGGCGAAATTATATTTGTTGGATAGGTGTTGATAAAAAATTAACCGGGGTAGAAATCTGATGGTTTATCTTATGGAAGGTTCAGAGCTCTACTCATTTAAAGGTACTCCGTATAAAAAAAGTAAGGACTATGCTACACTTACACCAAAAAATATACTCTATTTGTACACCACAAGTTTGCACAAACATTTCGATGGTTTACACCGACACAAGTGTTGGTGCGTTAATAAAAATTCACACGGACACAAATGTTGGTGCATTTAACAAAAATTAGTTTTACACCAACACAAAGTGTTGGTGCAAAACTGCGGGGTACAAATTGGGGTACAAAACTTGGGGTACACATAGCATAATCCAAAAAGTAATGATGTGTTTGGTTGGAGGGGCGATGTTTTCTAGAAAGATTTTGATTCCATTTTCTTGTGTTTAAAGATATTAGTGGGCAAAATATTTGCCTTTAATATCGGGAAAACAATTTACAATACAAATCGAAGAAAAATATTCATTCTCTTTCCGCTCCATCCCCACATATGCCCCTCCAACCTTCGTCTCCCTCATACCTTTTTTTTTAAACCAAAGATTGCATTAAATTAATGGAATGATGAAATCCGGGGGTGAATGAACCCATTCACCCAAGCTCTGAGAAGAATGAGAAGCCCGCGCCAACACATGCGCTGCTTCATTAGCAGAGCGATACACAAACTGAATGTAAAAAACCCCCCTACATAAGACAACAAGGGTTAAAAAAAACCCCCTCGTACCTTTTTTTTAACTATGCACATTTAAATTTTAGATTAAATCTTAGATTTTGGATTTTAAAATTTAAAATTTGAATTTAAAAATTGTGTGGGTTTAAAAAATAAAATTTATATAGTAAAGAATTACATCAAAAGATTTACAAAATAAGATGTGACAAGAATATATTTTTGTATTGGGTAAAGCATGATTAATGATTGACAATATAAACAGTAAACATACAATTTAAATTGAGACAGAAAATAAAAATTAAACATGCACTCTTAATTTATTAAGCATAATGAATTTAATGTTTAGATTATAGACCTTGTTTTGTAACAATGTAATATTTTAATATTAATTAAATGATTTAGATAATTTTTAATTACATAGACTAGTTTGAAAATATTTAGATAATTGTTTAATGATACAGATTACAAATTAGCTTCAAAAGCATTAAAATTATATGCTATCATTAAAGAATACGTAGTACTCCCTCCGTCCACAACTAAATTTCCCGTTACGCGTTACGATGTTTGTCTGAAGTTATTTTCAAATCATTTTATATAAAAAATATTAATGGTGTAATTTTTAAAAATAAAAATTACATATTAAAAAACTATATCAAAAGATCTACAAAACTAGAGTTGACATGACTATATTATTTTATCAAATGTATGACGAAAATAGGCCAACAAAGTGAATAAAGTTTGACTCTGTGAATAGTAAACAGAAAGTTTATTTGTAGACAGAAAATAATCTGTTTAAAAAAAATCTCGAAGCTATTGTCAAATATTATCTAGCATTTACACTTTTTTGACTTTTTTGTAGTACAAAATAATAAATTTAATCATTAAATAAACAAAAATGAAACTAGATATTGATATAAAAATAAATTTTTTAGATTTATTTTTAAAATATTATTTATTTAATTAAAATATCATATAATATTTGTTTAATTAGATGTCAAAAATTAGTCATGATTAACAAAAAAAATTACTAAGGTGTGTGGATAAACCAGACCGGATAAGCAAGCATTAAATTTGCAAATCTCCCAAAAAAGGAAAGAAGAAAATATAATTTTAATTACTCTAATTTTTCTTAAGGATAATGACCATAGTTAGTAATATACGGCAAACGTATA